CATAATTGCGAGCATTGTATTCTGTTGTCAGTGGAAACGTTTCAAAGAATCTTCCGAGCAGAACTTATCTACCCTGCGGTCTTGCAATTATTGCTCTAAGTAAATCGACGTTATTCAGTTGCGTTTTTTTTTTTCTTAAAGACAGTTTGACAACTCCAGGACATCATAGTTTTGACGAAATAAGCTACGAAACTCGTTATCTTTCGCAGACTGAAATATTATTTGGACGCTTTGCTTGCCTATGCTAAGCCTATGATCCAATGGCGAATCTGTTCAAAACCGTTCCCCCTTTGTCTCTAGCAGTCAATTATCATCATATTGGGTGTTTTAAAGACAAAGCTAATCGAACCATGCCCAAACTTCTTGGTAAATGGCGACGCGATAGCAAAGCTGTTGAGAAGTGCGCCCTGGCCACAGAGAAGGCTGGGTACTTATTTTTTGGAGTGCAGTACGCTGGAGAGTGCTGGTCGGGACCGCAGGCTCACATGACATACAAAAAGTACGGGACCTCCAACAGATGTGTGAACGGACGGGGTGGAAACTGGGCACAAGATGTATACGAGATTGTTAGTAAGTGATGTTTTAGTGACGTCACGTTCATTTGGACAGTAAGTCTTTCGTTTCGGAGGGAAGGCTTTGATGAAATTTTTCCTGTGGACTTCCATGTCGCTAACGCTTTTAATATCTCTCGTGTGAGATACAAGAACAAAGTGGGAATCAGAAGTCGAAAAATGAAGTAACAACAACTTTACTCATGTAACAATGTGTTTTAATACAACCGGATCATTGTAATTGTTAACGACGATGTGTAAAGTTTTGTAAAAATACTCTGTTGTTCTTATAACATAAATTTTCATCGTATTACATGTATTTAACAACTTTGAACGTAATAAAGTAACTTTGTTGATTGACGTGTGACGTGTTCTTGTTGTGCACGAGTGTTTCATTCTAATATTTCTCTAATCTTTGTTACTCACTAGTTCACTGTACAGTCGAACCTCCACCAACAGTCACCAAGGCGGCCATTGTGACTTTGGTACTTTTTATGAGCGTACAAGGATGTCGCTTAATATGACTGTGTTTAGTGTGTGTAGAATATGAAAATGAAAAACCTGTGCTCGAAATAATAATGCTTTTAACGTAGATAAACACCTAGCCTTATGTGGCATTATAACAACACCAAAGTGGAACAACTGTGTTTAGGACTGGGAAAGATTGAGGCACAGTAAAGGAAAGATGGCCTTGAAAAACTGCAGTTTAAAATTTCTATGACGCGTATGATAACTTTGTATGTNAATTTCTAACAATTCAACGGTCATTGTAATTGTTAACGACGATGTGTAAAGTTTTGTAGAAATACTGTTATGAAAGCACCAGGATTTTACGAAAAGTGAAGTAATAACAACTGTACTCTTCAGTACTCATGTAACAATGAATGCTTAATTCTAACAATTCAGCGATCATTGTAATTGCTAACAACGAAGTGTAAAGTTTTGATGAAACACGTCATGAAAGCACTAGGATGTTACGGTGTAACATAAATTTACATCATATGACATGTATATCTTGCAACATTGAACTTAATAAAGTTACTTTCTCGATTGACGTGTTATGCACGAGTGTTTCATTCAAATATTTCTCTAATCTTTGTTACTCACAAGTTTACTTTACAGTGGAACCTCCACTAACAGTCACCAAGGCGGCCATTGTGACTTTGGTACTTTTTGTGAGCGTACAAGGATGTCGCTTAACATGACTGTGTATGGCATGCGCAGAATATGAAAATGTAAAACCTTGCATGCTCGAAATAATAGTGGTCTTAAATGTAGATAAAAGTCTGCACAGTAGCTAGAAAAAATTATGATTGAGGCAGTGCCCATGAAAAAATTATGACTGAGGCAATGTGCATGGTTAGATTTTCTTCCAAGGTACATTGTATTTCGGGTTTTTATGAGACTATAAACAACAAAAACAACAAAAAAAAAATGGCTGAAGCAAGTGTCTGATAGTTTGCCTGTTTACTAGCTACGACCCAGCTGCTATGTGACATTACAACTGAAAACCAAAGTGGAACATTTGTGTTCAAGACTGGTAAAGATTAAGGCAGAATAAACGAAAGAAATTGACCTTGAAAAACTGCAATTTAAAATTTTTATGACACGTATGATAATTTTTTGTTGTGTCTCTCCGGTCATTACGTATATGGACTACTACCATGATTTTGTACTTGTCTGACTCGCTTCTCGTTAGTTTACCAAAA